CCTCTGACTTCGGATGAGATTGCAGGCTCACGAGATACGAACGAGACTACCGTCTCACGTTCCGGTCGCCGAGTACGGTTACCCGTACGCTTCCGCGACTAGCCGCACAGTTAACAACCGATACGGTGTAGGATTATTCCTATACTACACGCATGCTACACTCTTCTCTTTTTTGCTTTTTTTTTTGTTTCCTGAGCCCACGCCTTCGACCATCTCCGTTTGGTTCCGTCGACTTCAGTCAACTTTGGCGAAAGCTGGCCTGATCACCCACGCTCTTGTCAACGCACTCAGTCGATATTTTGGTTTCGAATGCTTGGCATACGCTTGGTCTCGAACTTGGTCGTTATGGTCGCTTCTGGTCTTTTGGCTCAACGTGGTTTCGTCCTTCGTCTGCAGCGTTTCTGGTCCGCATCCCTACGAACGCCCTCTTCAGATTCTGGATACAAACCACTCTCGTGTAGCATGCCAACTCAAGCAACAAATACAGCACATCGCTCCTGGTACCGTTCTCCGAAAACGACCTTCGTTGGCAACTCGACGATCAACGATCGCTTTCCTGTTCGCCAATTCTTCCGTCCTACAATCGCTCGTCAGCCGATCAGTCCCACGATTCAAACCGCTATTTATCGAAAGTGTAAACCCTTTCTAGCGGGGGGCTCCTGTAGTGACTCACATTTATCACGAGAACACGACTGGTTTAATAAAAACAATTATTATTATAACCAACTGTACCAGTGTTTGTTTTAACGTGCTTTTGTTTGACTGTGCTAATGACAGCTATTTTGTGCTTCCATTCTTTTACTTACACTTCGATTGTAACTTCGCGCGAATTCGGTTACCTTCTGTAACCAAGGTTGTATCCTGGCACGATCTCGGTATCCTTTCGATGCCACGAGATCGCCAGCAAATATACACCTCGACTTGGTCCATTAACTGTCTTCTGATATTTGGCTTCTCGGGGATTTTATGGATCTATTTGGTTACGTCCAACCTTCGCCTTCTGATCTATTTGGCACGTGTTTCTTGGTAGCGGTGTTCATAGTTAACCTCAACTCGACATCACGCTACAGGATAATCTAATGTCGATATGTATGAGTCATATATACGTGGTGAAGATTGAATGAATCTGAGAAGTTAATTTATTTAAGTGTACCGTGAGATAATCTGCTTTTAGTTATAGACTTTGGATGTTAAGGAATAATATATGTTTAGAAGGCTAAGAAGAGTTAAAAAGAATATCTAATGTGTCGAGGGGCCAATAATGATATTAATAAGAGTAATAATTACAGATATGAACATAAGTAGACTTCACACATTATGAACAGAAAGGAAATAAAATAGACGTGAAATTCTTCAAAGGTACATTCCGCTTTTCAGTCAATTAGATGGGTGATGGACCTTATTTGTATAAATCATTATTAAACATATTGATATTCAATAGGTGACACAATCCACTCTCAGAAAGAAAATCATCAAGGAGACTTCTGGACCGGGTTGTAGTTTCACTGCAGGGGAGGTTCACTGGCAGTCTGTTCCACATGGTTGGGTAGCAAATAAAGAAAAAATTCTGCCGTAAGTTTGTGTGGGTTCTTGGAATCGCTAGGATGTTTTCCTTATTGAGTAGATTGTGGGGTGATATCATAGGGTATGAAAGGGTAGATACCGAAGAATAGGAAATACCGTTAATGGGCTGGTAGATTTTAATTTAACACGTCTGATTCAGAGAGGTTCTAACTTGAGATGTTGAAATCTTTGGTCGTAATCCTTGTTGCCTGAACATCTCAAAACAACTTTAGTTAATCGCCTTTGAATTCTCAATTTTCATTAATTCATTACACTTGGAATTGCTGTAAACTAGATTACTACATTCAAGAATGGACAATATACATTTTTTGTACAGTAATATTCTCGATTCGATGTTATTGGGGGTTATAATTATGGATCCAAAGGGCTTTCTAGTTTGTGTGAGACACTGTCGAAAGCCTTACTAAAATCGAAGTAAGGAATTATCACTGACTGACCAACATCTCATTTCCGGGTAATTCGATCAACACATTTCAGGTGCAATGTGAAGCATGAGAGTTTAGTCATAAACCTGTGTTGTGATAGGTTAATCAGACTAGCTGAAAGTAAAAATGATAATAGCTGTTTGTGGATGATTTTTTCGATGGTTCTTGATAGCACGGATGTTAAAATAATGTGCCCATAGTTAGCAATATCACTACATGATCCCGTTTTGAATCCGGGGGGTGATAAGAGATGTTTTCCATACTGATGGATAGGCCCCATATTCCATAGATAGGTTGATACGTTTTAAATAAAAAAAATTGGAATTCTCTACTACCATATTTCACAAACGATGAAGGAATCCCGTCTGGTTCATCATCATAAGACTTTGTCAGGGCAGCTATGGCCTGTTTGACGTTGTTGGGTGTGAAATCGATTTTGGATAGGCGTCTGGATGTTAACATTGATAGAGGTTTCAGTTTCAGTGTTGTATCATAGCAAGAAATGCTAGCTGAATTGTGTATCAGGGTCGTCAACAAAGTTTTAAAAGTATTCTGGCCCTTATTAGCAATACAAGCCACATGGCCAATAATTGGAGCAGTGCAATCAAGGCAATATATCAGGTTGTAGTATAGATTGGAAAGCGCAATGTCAATATAATTTTGTGGTAAAATAAGTTTCACATGGTAAACACTGAATAAGAGTTTCAGTCCATTTCCAGGTTTGTTGATCAAAATGTCTGTTCTGGTACATCATTGAAGCTTCAGAGTTTAATTGTATGGCGTTTAAAGAATGAATAATGCCCAATACAACTTTATGATCACTCATAAATAAGTCGTGATTGATACGCACTGAGATAGAGCCAGTGTTAATTGTAAACATTAGATAAAGTTTATTATTCCTTGTAGTCAGCTTTCGGACTTGTTCGACCCATCCACAAAGTTCTCTTGTTTCAACTAACTTGTTTTATCGACGTGGTACCGAAATCCAATGCCACATGATCTTCGGTGTGTTAAAATCACCTCCGATGACTTTAGACATATGCGGGTGGTGCAAAGAATTGAAAAATCTGTTTGTTAACGATCTGTCAGAGTTAATAACCGCATGGAGTGAGCTGTTTATGCATCCCACCAGTAGATAATTTTGCAACCCACAATTTACGGTAACCCAAGTTGAGTCATCCATAGCATAAAGACATTGATTCTCAAATTTACATGCTTGAATGTTCAAAGGAACATCTATAGTTGTACCACCTCCTATGTTATAGCGTCTATCGGTTCGAAAATAAACTTAGCTATCTCCGTGTAAGTAATGATCAGATATGGATGATTTGCACCACGTTAAATATAATGGTTGGATTTAAAATTATTGAGAGTACTTTTATTGGACAGAGAGTGGCATTGAATGAAGGAATAAGAAACTGAGAGGCATTATGTTGTATCAGGTTAAGATATAGATCACCAGTATCAGTTCTATGAGTACTCTTGAAATTGGCTAGTGTAAGAATTGTGTTATGATGGGGAGTAGATTCAACAATATTGTCAGCATTTGTAACATATTCGTTGTCGGCAGCAGGGAAGCCGGCGCAAAAATGTCTCTGATTGTTACTGACTGTAATAGTCATGGTGTCCATCTTGTGGGCCGGACCAAGAAGGCTATCAGTTCTGTATATGCAACTAAGTAGCCGTTTACAATTCGAACTACTTCCTGTACCTGATATGTGTGTAGCAAGTTCCAGATATTTATTTCCAAGGTTTTTGGTTTGTTTTAACTCCTTTGTAATTTGGGGCGAATCGAGTGTTATTAAACATTCTTGCGGTGATTCGCAGGGTTCAAATATATCGAAGTCCAGTGCGTGGTCAGTTCGCACGGTGAGGAGGAACTAGGCTACACTAGGCAAAACCAGAGACATATGCTTTTGGTTTAATATGAAGATCATAATCCCAGCTGAAACAAGGCTATCGCCTAACATTACGAATGGAATATTGAGCTTGCAAGTTATAACACTTTTCAGGTATGATGCACAAAACTGGAGGTGGGGTGGCGATATACTTTAACAGTCACTTCAAAACCACAACATTATACAGTATCGAGTTACTCTAGGTTGCGGAATCATTCAGGTATGCCCTCACTTCTTATCACTAAGAATCGCTCTCAGCCAAACTGACTACAGTCCCCTCAGTTAATGGCTTAAGAGGACACTTGACAAATAAATAATCGCCTATGGACTAAAGTTTCTCTCTTGTACCAGATGTGTCTAATGCATGTCTCATAACTTATTACGGTTATCATTTCAGAATACAGGTAACTACCTCCTATCTCTTATTATCATTACCGTTCCACTCTTATTTCTTCATTTCTGTCTTCTTGTATATTATCAACTACTTGACTTATTTGTTGTTCTTGAAACAATGGTCTTCTTTTAGGACTCAAATTATCACTATTATTTTCACATTGCATTCAACCACCTTACCAGACTATCCACTGGTATCCAGAACCAATTTTGCCCCGGGACAAACACACTCACTCGAATTAAAAAATATGTACGAATTCACAAACAACTGCCAAACTGATTGGGATTAACGTAGTCGAGTGGCCACACTATCATCCACTGGACATAACCAAATAACTAGGACCGCACCAAAATTACAAGAAGAGAGCGTGAAGAAATCAGTTGATTTATGTGTATCACGATCAAAATTCTACACTATTGACTTTTTGGTTCGATTTTCAGGCTGTCCTAATTCCAAGTTCACTTTATTTCTCACTGCTTTCAATTGCTTTCGTTTTGAAATGTGACTGAATTCTGTATGCTTACAGACTCATTAGCTCAGTTCTCCCCATGTTTTTTTCTTCAAACAGTCCCACTCATCCAAATACCACTCCACTACACAAAATGTCGTCAGGTCAAACTCAAACTTACCAATGACTGGACGTAACAACATAAGCCAAGGACAAATATATTGGATATTGGGAGGGCGGTATTTGAAAAAATGAGGCGGAAACGGCGTTCCGATTCGTTTGATGAAGATGGTATTTCTGAAACTTCGACTTACTTAGTTCTGATCAAGACTTTAGATCAAAAAGAGACAGGACAGAACCAGATACGATTGAATCTCTCATATATCGAATAGGGTTCAAAGTACTATATCTTTTGATGCTCATGAACTTCCTAGGACCTTTCTAATATAGAACGGGATATTGGAGAACTCGCGTCAGTTATTTTAGCAGATATCCCAAAGAATGGAGAGGGCCTTTTGAAAGTTCTGAGCAATTGGTATTTTCCGATATGCTTATGATCCTTTTAGTGTAAAGAATGTTCCAGAACGAATACTAATTTATGCAACGTTAGTTGGGTTGCTGAATCTAAAAAATCGATCGTTTGTCGGCCAAGTATGTATCACATATTGGTAAAAACAATTTTTTAGTTGATAGAACTTCTACAGCGAGACCTGAAGGATGCTATTAGATCGGCGAGTTTTGAGGACGCTAAATATATAGTATATGATATGGTTTTGCTTTCATTACTTGTCTAGGTTTTGTTCTTGTCAGTATCTGTTAACTGTCATACTGTTCAGAAAGCATCCATCCTCGGTCTGTACGAAAATTTTGCTGAAGTCACTCTTGATGCAGGACGAAGTTCTCAGGCTCGAACTGATTGGTACACATACGTGATTCTTTACGGTCTACCATACGTAAGTGAAGCATATCAATCTTTTACTCACTTTTCACTTGTTGCCTTTGACATCCTTGTATTCGTATACATAGCAGGTATTTTGTTAATCTATATTTAATCTGCATTTCAAGAACACTTGCGACTAGGGATCTGTCAGCATTTATCAGGATCGACATAGATAATCAACGACTATTTCAAAGTATTGATGCACCTTGTTCCCAGTTCTCCATATTATACCTATTCTGTACCATATTTCTAGTATACCTCTTATGTTTTGATCTCGAAGTAAGCTATTTTACACATTTAAAATGGCACAGTATATTACAGAATAAATACGCGTTTTTTAGTAACTAGTGAATATAGTCGTGAGTGCATACAAAATTAATTTTGTTTCTATTTGTTACCTCAAGTTGTTGCAGTTGTCATTTGTATAGGAATGATCTGATTTATCGTTTGCTGTATTTTACTTATTCACAGGTTTACTAAATGATTACCGTTTATGCATTAAAGTTCAACACTGTCCCTATGTCATACACAGATATACTTTTAAAATGGCAAGTATAAAAATATCTGAATGTCTTCATACGGGTAGCGGTAGACTAACCCATGTACATTTGTTAAATGTCTCCGAACGTATACACTTAATCGCGGATGAAGAATCACTGTCGTCTCGGTGGAAGGCTTTAAAAAACAACACTTTGTGAAACTAGTATCCTTCGGTATGTTTGGTGACATTAGATTTTAGTGTGCATATTTCCTAGACACTAATTCTGCCTTCCCATAAAGAAGGCCGGGGTTAGAAAAGGTCGACCCTAAAAATGAAGATTTCGCCTCGTCCCACGGATTTCCGTCTCCGGCGGTAAGGCCCCGACAAGTACTGAGCTAAAGCGGAAACTACTCACAAAAAGGTCGTATTCGACCGACCTCAAACAGTTGTCTCTTGGGTACTGCAGTCACGTTCTCAGGTCACTAAGGCCACCTTTAAGCCAATTTCTTTTTCAGGTAATTCTAGAAGAACCCTTCCATGGTGTGGGCAATCGGGAAGTGATAACTGCTTCCATACCTCTAACAACACTCAAGATCACTTTATTCATAATAAATCTCCCTCTTCAATGGCTATTATTTCTTCTACCTCGACCTCCAACTCTAAACTTCCTCTTTTGACTTCCTTTTTAAGTGTCACCATGGCCAACGATTCTAGTTCGGAAAGCATTGTCGCAGATCTGCTGAAACCCCGCTCCAAAATATACACTGGAGCCTTCAACGTACGCACTTTATATCAAATCGGCTAGCAGGCCTCCTTAATTAAAGCCCTAGAATCTCGTACTATTGTTCTATGCTGTGTCTCCAAAACACCCAGACAGCATCCTAGTGTGGTTATTCGCTCGACCTCACCTCGCCAAAACAGAGAGCCGACGAGACACACCCTCTGTGTATCTGGCGACCCGATGGCTAGTTCTCGTGGACTGGTAAGTGTGGGAATAGCACTAAGTACGAGGACAGAACAAGCACTATTAGAATGGATACCTGTTAGCAGTCGCCAATGTGCTGTCCGGCTAGACTGCTCCGTAAAACTCGGAAGGATAGGGACATACATCGTTGCCTTTTCGTCATTTCTGCCTACACAGTTCGAATGAAGTGGAAGATTTTTACAGAAGGCTTCCTAAACTTCTTCAAAGAGCTTTACGCTCAGACATAGTACTCGTAGCAGGTGACTTTAATGCTCAGATAGGTAGCTTAAACCAAACAGAAAGACATTTAGGTGGGCATTTTGGTATTCCGGCTCAGCGAACAGATAATGGTGACCGTTTGCTGCAGCTGTGCTTCGACCGTCGTTTATATTTAGCGAACACTAATTTTAGTATAAGGAGATACATCGTCTAACATGGCGAACCCCTGCACCAAACCAACGATGGACTCAAATAGACCATATTGCCGTAAGTCATCGTTGGATAGGGTCGATAAAAGACTGCCGCGCGTTCTGGAATACATGTTTAGGCTCTGATCATGCTCTAATGCGAGCACGTATTTGCTTGCGCCTCACTGGATTCAGAAGAACCACATTAAGAAGACCCATTAAAGTTGAACTCAGTGACAAGAAAAACAAAAGTATATTCCAGGAACAACTGAGGCTACTCTTAGGCAGTTCTAAAAACGAGACTAACCCAGATGTTGCTTGGAATGATATTTGAACAGCTGTGGAAACAGCGGTCGCAATCACTGATTGTCACAATATATAAGAGAGGGTCAAAATCATCGTGTGACAACCATAGAGGGATTGGTTTAACTAATATAGTATCTAAAATACTATCCTCGATAATTATCGGACACCTAACTAAGACTCGTGAACCGCAAACACGAGAGAATCGAACTGGCTTCAGACCTGGTCGTGGCTGTATCGACCACATATTCACCATTCGTCAAGTTCTAGAACATAGGCATACTTATCGGCGTCCAACAATGGTGCGTTTCTCCTCCTCTGAATGCAAATTGTTGCTTCAGGACTGGTCTGCATCAATTCCTGAACTAAGGATCAGAGTGAAGTAGTCGAACGTGTCGACAGCTTCACTTATCTTGGAAGTCTGATCAGCCCAAATGGGTCAATGTCTGACGAGGTCCCTGCACGAATTCAAAAAGCTGATTTGGCTATTGCCAACCCATATCACTTATGACGAAAACGAGATATCTGTCTATCAATTAATAAGCGAGTATACTGCTTAGCAGTTGCTTCTGTTCTAATTTACGGCTGCGAAACGTGGCCATTAAGAGTAGAAGATACTCGTAAGTTACTAGTATTTGACTACAAATGCCTTAGAAATATGACTTACATCTGCTGGGATCATTGGATAAGTAATAGTGAGGTTAGACACAGAGTATTAGGGAGTGATGGTAAGTCAGTCGATAAGGTCGTGAACCATCATCGACTGAGATGGTTGGGCTACGTGTTACGTATGCCTGAACACCGAATACCATGGCGTGCAATGTTGACTAGTGTTGGAGATAGTTGGAAGAAAGTTAGGGGTGATCAAACGAAAACGTGGCATCAGTCATTGAAGTCATTAGTTTTTGGTCTGAGCTATGTTGGTAGATGCAGACTACATGGTTGGGGTCCGCACAACTGTCGTGACCAATGGTTAGAGACTGTGGGTGGCATGTCTCAGAATCGATCACAATGGTGTAGATGTATACACTCTCTGTCTTCTCTCAAATAATGAGATTAAAATCGCTTCATATCTTTCTTTCTACGAACTAATTCTTTCTTCCTGTACTACATTTATTTTTATTTACTTATTTATTTGAACACATAAATATTAGTACAAGAATGCGCCAAATATATATGCGCCACACACTATATCCTTATTTCAATCTTTCTTTTATATATTACCACCTCTGAATTAACTACTTTTATGAATCCAGTGTCCATCTTGTTGTGTTAATGAGGTATGGCAACTTGGACCGATGCATATATTTGCCTGGTCCTACGTTGTAGCTGACTGACTGACTATTTATATATATTACTACCACTGAAGTAACTTTCTATGAATCTGGTGTTCACCTTGTGCTGATGAGGTGTGGCAACGTGGACCGATGCATATATGTGCCTCGTTCTACATTGTAGCTGACTGCTGACCCTAATCAGAGATAAATGTCTAGAATGTTAGTTTATTATTGTATTCGACAATACAACCTTACTTGTATCCAGCTTGCAAAATTATTACGTACGTAATCATTCACATTTTAGCTACACTACTTTGTTTATGTAACAAAACAAATAGTTGGATGTATATTTCCTTTAATCTATGATTTGTTTGTACCCTTTCAGAGTGGTTACTTGCTAGCTTCTTATGACGCTTCAGCATTAAACGATATATTAGGTACAATTGAAGTTTACATGACGTAAGTTTGTTTTGTTTGTACAAAAATAAAATATGCGGTCTATACAACGTTTCTGTATACAGATTTGTGTTCTTTGGTGTTATGATGATCATTCGCTGCCCTCAAAGTGTGTTAACTGATTTCCTATGTTGTCATTACCGTTCCTCATATGCTAACAAGTGTATGGTAAGTTTTCCTTGATAGCTAAGTTGTCTCCAAGTTTGCCGAATCCAGACTTTTAAACATCGATCGTCTGTTACAACAACACTTAATCCAATATAAATAAAGTATGCCAAGTAGAATTCAGTCATAGTGATCCAGATTTTCTCAGTCATTTAATAATGAGACGTTTCAAGGGTATTCTGGATATCTTTTCGAATGCAAACAAGAATGTTAAAATATTTCACTTCGAATACCACAAAGATTTCCATAAGAATGATTTTGTCTGAAATTGTTAGATTTGCTCCAGCAAACAATGAAAAAAAGTTCAAAATGTATGGTTTACGAATCATGCTGAAATGTTTCTGTAAATCGAACAGATTCATGTTTTTCTGTGGACTCTCAAACCCATGTTGATGTACGAATTTATGACATCAGATTCCCGGCGAAATTTGTAGTTTAAGCGGGAAATATTGATTCGAATTGTTTTTGAATTAGGGAAATCTGTAATTTATGAAGTACAGGCTTATGAGCCCAACTTTATGCTTATTTTATTAGGGGGCCACACCCGGCTCTTTTGACCTAAAGGTTTGATTTATTAGGCAATGGAACAACGTCAGAAGATGCAGTCCCATGGTAGCTGGTGACCAACAATAGGTTCATACGTCATCGGTTCCTTCAGGATACTGGAGCCCGTGTGCACCGTTGGTTCGAAGTCAGAGTTTCCCGACTCCCCTAGGTGGACTCCGTATCCACCAACCTGGTTAAAGCGCCAGATATTCGCTTCTCGTCCTCTCAATTTCGTAAATAACGCCCTCGCCACGAGAAGACAATGAGTAGGACTTCCCTTGCAGTGGCTGTATGCGCCTGGCCACGTGAGAGTATTTCGAAGAGAACTGACTCTACCCACCCTCGGCCGTACCAGGGCATTGATGTACATATCAAACAGAAATAACATCACATTATTTATTTATTTATTTATTTGAACACATAAATATTGGTACAAAAAGATGATAAACTGTCTACTTGTGAAAAAAAATAGCATCACATAAGATTATAGGTAATATTAGTTACGCTTTGTAAGGTATTTATAGTATTATTTTACCCACCAATAGTTTTCACGCAAAAGTTTGTCTGTGGATCGAATTCAAATAAGATCAAAGTAATAGACGTTTAAAAAATAATTCATCTAGTCAAGTCAGTTAATTATAGCTATCAATCAACCAAATGTCCTATATTTTTAAGAAATTTCCCATCAATTTTTTATCTCTTGTTTGGTTTGTTCACCAAAAACAATGTCTTGATAATGTTCCTTTCGAAATGTTCATTATTGTGGCACTTAGTTGGTACATCATATGATCTCTTTGGTATTCTGTAATATCGTCATCCTGAATGTTATTTATTACATTAACTGAAACATTTAATATACTTAATTAGTCCTCAATGATAGACTGCTAACTTCCTAAGAATTTTAATTATATTTTAGTAAACGCCAGTGCCCCCATGTCTCATTATTACGCGTTTGGAGTCAAATGATCCTCACCCACAAGAAGATGTAAGTAAAGCTTTACTGTGAAGACATTGTCTCGTTATTGTGAAAGTATTTTATTCAATTTTAACTGATTGCTCAATACAGTTCAATTAATATCTGTGTAATATTTCAGTTTGTTGACTTTTAATATATTCACTCTTCTCAAATACTGAATGACACTAACCTATACAGTATTTTAAAACTGCATCACTACATTGTTTGTTAATATTTCTTAAGGTAACCGTTAAACTTCTCGATTCAGATTTGCTAAATGTGAAAATGTTTGATTTACTGCTTAGTTTTTATCAGTCTCAGTTTTTCCAGTAGCATATTGCTACAAATACTAGACTGTCAAGTATTATTACAGTCGAATATCAAAGATCTTTACAGAAATAGTTCATTCTTTATAACGTCTCGGTGATTGAGGTTGCTTACGTCTTGAGTTCGTAATAAAGCAGCATACTTTTAATGACCTTTTACTTCCTGTTGTAACCTTGGACACTACTGTAAACACTGTGACCGGTATCCGCTACCCGTACACGAGATAAATAAGAACATGAAAACTGGTGCAGATGGACATTATTATTGACTTTTCAAAACCACTTCAACCGCTGTAGATAATACACATACATGAATCGATTTCACAGGCACACTTGATGATTAGTTAATAAGTAGCACATATATGGGAAATACACAGTTACTACAAAAACATATGCAAGTTATGCTAAGTTGAACTAAGTTCAAATGAAATTAATACAAAACATATTTCACTGAAATAAAACTAATGTTGTATTGCATAAACTATCACACTGAATTAAAGCAGAAGTAATATTAAACAAAAGTGACACTGGGTTGAAAAATGACTTATTTTTTCTCGTCCTGACACTGATTAAAATTTCGACAGCATTACACTTCCAAGATAATTTACTAATGGACATTGGATTCGATAATTTCATCTATTTTTGTGATAATATTGAGTCTTCTTAGTTTAATCTGTCCTTTCAGAGTATTCTTGCTGGTCAGTTCCTTCTTTTATCTTTCCATTCCAGTATCTGGATTGTTTGTGGGCTCAAATATGCAATCTCCGAAATAGTGGTTGGGTGGAAAAAGTAACTTGGAGATTATATGACTCTTTTCCTAGTTTAAAAGAACATGGTCAGCCGCATAAATTATCACCTGTAAGTTAAGTTTCCATGACGATTCCCTCAAATTTTGACTTGTCGCCATTGCTACTATCATTCACGCAATTTTTCACGTTTCTAATTTATTGGTAGAGAATACTTTGATGGTTTCTTTTTTTGTAGCTCACACCTCCTGATTATGATGCGGAGGTTATTTATCCTCTTCCATCTGTGGTTTTTCGAATGTTTGACTATACTGATGTAATAGATCAAGATGAAAACGAGATTGTCCCTAATTCAGATTTATCATCAGATGGAGTTAAATCTAATAGAGAAACTCCTGTCCTTCCGGGAGCACATACTATCGAACGATTCCTTATTGATGAACATTTGGCAATTTTGATGAATAATTTAAGTTTCAACAGAGTTATGTGGTAAGTAAACTAATCTAATTTTTTTCATCATTTTGGCTACCGTTAAAAACTTTGTACTAAGCTCTTCGTCGATTATGAGTGACTAACAGTTAGCAAGCATAAACTGTGTAAAGATTTATTTCGCAACTTATTACCATTGAAGTTTTAATTAGTAATATGGACTGCTTGTATATTACGTACTACAATGTATACTGGTATGAAAACATATGTAAATGTTAGGGAAAGCAAGATTTAGATCATTAAGTATATTTAAATGGCAACTGACTGTACAGTATTTTGCTAGAATATAAAGAAAACCAATAAGTATTTTACTGGGTTATTTATTTTTTTAACCGATACAATGATGCAGTGTCTCATTACCTCATATAGCGTTCTTTTTGTTTGAACTAGTGAAATGTTTTAGTTGTTATATCTGTCCATTAGATTTTCTGAAATAAATAACTATCAGGAAAAAATTCGGTGACCTAAATTCAGCTTCTATGGTAGCAAAATAGATTGTTTTTAGGCGTTTTTCCAATTTCAAATGATCTTGAAAAAAATATTCTTGTTCAGTGATATCTTGAATTTTTCCAACTTGTTTGTAGACTTAATGTAAGAAAACCACTTTCAGTTTTAAATCAAATTTTGTTTTACTTCGGTGTTAGTAATCGCACCTTTATATATACTTCATGTACCTTATCTTTTTTAATATTCTCAGGTTTATTCCTATACTTTATCAATACCTTCGGTTTTTTTAGTGCTAAAGCTCTGTTGGGACTCAAAACTCGAGCCAAAGTAGCTTTAGATTACATGATCATTGAAGCTGTTTTTGCTGGAATGTTTCACTTACCTCGTCCACCAGTTCAACATGGGAATCTTCTGTTTTATGGGAGTTTACTAGTACAGTTATGCCATGAAGCTAGTAATACAATTCCTCTGGTGTTAGCTCAAGCCACTGAAGTCCTATTTGAGCGTTTAGATAATATGAAACCTGTTTGTATTGGCAGGTAGGACTACATTTGATTATGATTTCATGTTAAGATTTGTTGTCATATCTGTGATTGATTGACTAATGTGATATAAGTCACATACATTGTTTGTCTTCCTAAAATTAACATTTATGTTTAAACTTATAGTGATGTGAGTTTCCCCTGTTAACCACTATTGCCACTCTTAGTGTTGCTTCGTTACTGATTATTTTTCTAAACATCCAACTGTATATTTTAACAACAACAAAGCACTTTAGATACACTATTATGCTAATGTTCTCATTGACACGTTGTAAATCCGACCTTTTACAACCATTCCAATATTACTACAGCACCAAAGATATAACCCTGATTGTCATAAGTCACTCTGGCTTCCGCTGTACGTACATTGATCTCATCATTGACAGCACCAATAACATTCACATAACTACCCAGACACGCGGACTTTTTGACTACTTCTAACAGCTCACTACGAAGAGTGAGTTCAGCCACAGGCTCCTGTCTGTCTTGTAAAAGTACTTTGGATTTATAAGGTGTAAAGTATATACTATATTGTCACTAATTGTCAACTGAGTGCGATTTATGAAGCTGATGTATCACAACATAAGACAATATCATTTGCATACTCAAGATCAAAAATTTTCCTCAAGATAACAGATCCCCATCACTACTCCGTACTTCCATCAGAGCTGTTTCTAAAATGTCATTGATGACAACGCTGAGGAGGAATATTAAGATTGGGAAAACCTCCTTAACCCTGCTGCTAAAACGGAACACTGAAGGGGAGTAATTGTGTGTACTGTCTTCATGATGTTAATAAATTTCTTAGGGATGCCCTTCCCCATCATTGATTGTCATTCCATCTTCACAGATTGATTCAATTACGTCAGACTTCCTTGCTTTAATATCTTGGATGAGTTGAAACATCTTCAGGGATTAACTAAATCTAACTGTTGCTTCCAAAAAAAACTTCAGATTTCTCGGTCCGTTAGCAAACTACACAGTTAATGACGTATCTGTTTATCATCTAACTCGCGATTAGGCAATGTTGACCCACTTGTTAGCAAAAATTGTAAGGAATCTGCAGAAACACAGTGCTCACAACTGTACCGTTTCATGAAGTTGCAAAAGACTTGACTCACCAATTTGATGGGGTCATGCAAACGTAACCAGTCCTTATCCATACTGCGGGTGGATAGCTAGCCTTGATACTAACTTGGTTTGATATTTGAGTGAGACGGAAGCTCCAACCGATTTGCTTACATTAATTATTTTACAACGATTGGTTTATGGGCTAATAAGACATAAGTGTTAGGATAGTCGGAAAAATATACCAATAATTATCGTGTTAAGTCTATGGTGTCCTTGGACCTTAAATGTACATTTCTTATTGGTCGATGTTTATTTCACTTGTTAAATATTTTGTAAATGTTGTTTCCTATTTTATGGTACGTTGTGGTGTGCTTGATTGGTATATAAACAAAGTATGTCTGAAATACAACGATTCATAACTCAGAGGCTGTGACTTGCGTTCTTGACTCAACTGGCTAGGACAGACTGCGAAGTGGGACCAATCAGGGCACTAGGTCGTCCATACGTGTTTTCCGTGTCTACTGTAATCGATCGATATAAACGCTGTCTAGCATAACCTGCAGTCCCACACGCGTTACAACAATAAGATTAAATTCACGTGGTGTTGTTTTACTTGGATCTTCCCATTGTTATTTAGGACAGCAATTAATCAGTCTCACATTGGCATGTGTGCATCCTGTGCCTCAATATAGCCTTAAGTCACAAGCTTTTTAAGCAAAGATGAATAGTGGCTAGCATTGGAATCCAGGACGTGCGTTTCGTTCTATTTGGGACGGTCACTGTTATCTTATCTTCAATCAGCTAGTCTACAGTAGACACTAACAGCTGTCCTCTTTGCACGGACACTCGACCTGTACATTCTAATCTCCTAGTAGCGTTATAATATCTGTCGCATGCGTTCTCCTGAGGTCGTTCAAATGATGGTACCACCTATTCTTGGTTTATTTGGGTCAATAACCTGTCGGGGGATAGGCGGAGATTACGAAAAGACATTAGTCTCCACATAGTTTTCCTCTCATTTCGATGGAGCTTTATTATATAGCAGCACATAAATGACTGTTAATAGGCATACAGTTGAATAATGCTAGTGTTCTGGTGCTTAGCAAAGTACTAACGCTCAACTATCCTGGACGAATATTTAACGGGGTCCCTGTACTCAATATATATTTATATGTAGGTTGGGGCACTGCCTAGGGCGCTCAATGATATGCAGGTGGTTTTCTTAAGGGGTTATTAGACAAGTCTTAGACCTAAGACTAATCAACAAGGCGACTGAACAAAGTTAGGAGATGCAATCTATGTCAACCGATGGCTAAAGATATGTTCATTTGTCATTCGTCCCTTTAGGATCCTGGAGCTCATGAGTACCATTCGTTTGTAATCAGTTTTACTTTAGGGTAGGTCCTTCGTATCCACCAACCCAGCAAGAGCCGGGCTTTCGCTTTTCGACTGCTCACCTCCGTAAACAAAATCCCTACGGCTGGACTGCAGTGAGTAGGAAGACTTTTCTATCAGTGGATGTAAACGTGTGATTTTGAGAGAGAGAGAGAGTGTGTGTGGAATCTCCACCTTCCTCCCTACCAGGACTGGTTTGATATCTTAGGAATTCCTGGAATTATGAGAAAAATATTGTTGATATTCTATTTGCAAGAGATAGGACCGTAAAGGACTTGTATTCGTTGGATAGGCGAACATGATACTAAGCTCTACATCGGGAAGCGATGATTTAGTAGTTAAAGCCCTTGGCTTGAGACTACTAAGTTACTGGTTCGAGCTCCACTTCACCTACTTCGCTTTGAATAGTCGGTCGAATATCACCATTCCTAACACATTAAGAAATATGTGGCTCAAAATCCAAATCGTTTTGTTTGAAAATTTGACTTCTCCTACTAATAAAACTCGAATCTAACACTAGTAGATTGCAAACCAAATGTTTTATTCACTAAACTATTGCTTTATCCAGTTGAAATATCAGTACTGCTTCAACACCCTTTTACTTCAGACATTTAAATTATTATTATTATTATTACTGTTATCCTGTAGGTTTATTGAATGGTTTTCATATCATTTAAGTAATTATCAATTGCAGTGGAGTTGGAAAGAGTGGTCCTCATCTCTAACTTTAGATCCGATGTCTCCACAAAAACGTTTAATTACCGAAACATTATGTCGATTAATACGGTGAGTATATTTCTGTATGACATGTGTTCTTAGAAAGGATTGCCATTATTATTATTATTATTATTATTATTATTATTATTATTATTATTATTATTATTATTATTATTATTATTATTGCAATGGTTTGATAACACACTAAACCACATATTTGGTACACTCAATGACTACATCATATCGAAATATTATAAAGAATTAATGTTAATTTTACTAAGAGTAAGTTAAACTGTAAGATTTATCCGCAAAATTAAAAATCTCTGTTACATTTAAGTAAATCCATATATATATAGTTAGTCGATAAAAACAAGAGATGATTTATTACCATTATACTGTATTCTTGCTAATATTTCGATGTGTACTAATCTGCAAGTTGGAAAACATGGTACTATATGTAGTCATGTTTCTGAAATTTCAAAGCTGTATAACAAAATTGCAGATTAGATAGGACAGAGTTGTTGAATTGTTTATGATTATGATCGTAAAATAGAAGCAATATTCATGTCTGTCATTGAAAGGCGTACCCCAGAAGTACATAAACCTTGTAAAGGCTCTTTACTCGAACACTGCAAGTCGAGTCAGAGCTTATGGCGAACTGTCATCTACTTTTGCAACCTCAAGTGGTGTCCATCAAGGCTGTCCACTTTCTCCATTTTTGTTTAACTTCATCATAGATCTACTGATGGAAATAACTTTCTCGTCGACTGAGTTCTCGGGTATTGACCTCCATCCAGGAGGTCCACTTATCGACTTAGAATACGCAGATGACATAGTCCTGTTTGGTGAAGACGCTGACAAAATGCAGAGTCTTCTGGTAGCACTAAGCAACAATGCCAGAATGTTTGGAATGCGCTTCTCTCCCTCTAAATGCAAGTTGTTGCTTCAGGACTGGTCTGCGTCAACACCTGAACTAAGGATAGGGAGTGAAGTAGTCGAACGCGTTGACAACTTCACTTACCTTGGAAGTCTGATCAGCCCTAATGGGTTGGTGTCTGACGAAATCTCAGCACGGATTCGAAAAGCTCGCTTGGCTTTTGCCAACTTACGTCACCTTTGGCGAAGGTGAGATATCCGTCTATCAATAAAAGGACGAGTATACTGCGCGGCAGTCCGTTCTGTCTTACTTTACGGCAGCGAAACATGGCCTTTAAGAGTAGAAGACACTCGTAAGCTACTAGTATTTGACCACAGATGCCCTAGAAATATTGCTGGCGTCTTCTGGGATCACCGGGTAAGTAATAGTGAGGTTCGACGCAGGGTATTAGGAAATGATGGTAAATCAGTTGATGAGGTTATGAATCTTCATCGACTGAGATGGTTGGGCTACGTGTTACGTATGCCTGAACACCGATTACCACGACGTGCAATGCTATCCGGTATTGGAGATGGTTGGAAGAAAGTTAGGGGTGGCCAAACCAAAACGTGGCATCAGTGCTTGAAGACACTAACTTCTAGTCTGAGTCATGTTGGTAGATGCAGACTACTTGGTTGGTGTCCGCGTGACTTTCGTAACCAATGGTTGGAGATTCTTGGTGACATGGCTCAGAATCGATCACAATGGCGTCGGTGCATACACTCCCTGTCTTCCCTTAAACTAAGAGATTAAAATCACTTCATATCTTTCTTTCTACGAACCAATTCTTTCTTCTTGTACTATATCTCTATATGCAATCTTCCTCTTATTTATTACCACCTTTGACCTAACCACTAATATGAATCCGGTGTTCATCTTGTTGTGCTGATGCGGCATGGAAACCTGGACGGATGCACATATGTGCCTGGTCCTACGTTGTAGCTGACTGACTGACTGACTGAAGATGTTACATGATTGTTCGTTACTTCAAATGTAATCACTGTGTAAAGATGAAAAATCATTTGATAAAATTATGAATCTTCATGGGTTAAGATGATTGAGCACATGTGCTACGTATATCGGAGCACCTCTTACGTCAACCTATAGTCCTGTCTGATGTAGGAGTAAGTGGGTTTAGAGAAACTGCTAAAGGCATTCAACCCAAAACATATCTATTAGTCTATGAAATTATTGACGTTGATAGGTGCAAACTACTTTGTTAGGATCCAAACAATAGTCGAAATCAATAATTGTAGATCTTAAGTGACAAGACTTAAAATCAGTGTCATTCATGTTTTTCTGTCTTCTCGAAAATTCCGAATTTCGAGATTACTTTACATTTTGATCGTGCGAATTCATTCTTTCTTTCCCAGCCCCGTATTCTGTATTTTTAGCCCATTTTTCCTATTGTTACTATTACCTTTATTAATCCGACTCCTTTACTGCTCACTTGTTCAACTCATCTGATTTTACTTATTCGGTATGGTAATTTTGGATCAGTGCACATCTGTACTAAGGGTTTTTTCTGTACATTTACAGCTAGTTATCATCTTGTATTTTACATTTTTTGTTTTAGTTTTTCATACTACGAGAACGTCAAACGTTTACTTCCGAAATCTTTTTATATAATGTTACCACCTCAACCTACGGTAATCAATAAATATGAAAGTAATCCAGGTAATTAATATTTGAATCCTTAAGATGTAGTGTTAGCTTTATCAGCACCATAACTACGCAGGCTTGTTTTTTTGAACTGGTTAAAAGGCTCAACAGTGGTGAATTTTAAATGTGTCATTGTTAATACTATTAATCCTCTTGTACCTATTCTCGCATAAAATTAATCGTTAACCTCCATGTATGTGCATCTTTAATATTTGTGTTTGCTTTTTTATCTATTTACAAATTAGCTTTTTTAAAGTATGTAAACTCATTAAAAATTTATAGGTTGATTTATGTGTCAAATTCGCAAACCACATAATTCATTCCTTCATTCAATTTTTTCTCGTCACTGGTTTTATCTACAGAGTACCCAGTCTGAAATACATATATTCCCAACACATTTCATATAGGACTTAATATCACTTTGTTTAGCTAATATGATGGCACAACGGAATCAGTTTAAGTAAACAACGAAATAAATCGGAGATCGATTAACGTTCGAGTCAGATGCACTCCCAAATAACTATCTTTTAATAACATAGGTATTTTTATTAAATTGAAATATCAATATGACAAGTAATGTCAGTAAGTTGTTCTTATTTGTTCGTTTATACACTTCTGAACCCACTTTGTAGTTTGGCTAGTTTGTAAAGGGATTGTCATTCCTAACCCGTTCAATCTCTTGTCACCCAAAAACCTTATTCAAGATTTTGCTTATTAAAATAGATAACTGACAACTGCATATGAAGAGTCTTAAAATCTGTTTAGATTTAAAAACAAGGATAAAATTGACTGTGCAACGTACACATGAATCAAATGAAGTTCTACGCAGTTTTTCTTCAAACAGGAAGTTTTATACATAGAAGCACTTCCCTTTATAAACACATCATTTTAACTCCAACACGCATAAATGTAGATTTCAATAATTTATTTAATCTTGGTATCACGATATAGAATTGTGACTTTGTAATTTTAGATAACTGATTCCAATTATTTATTATCAGATTTGAATTCCACCCCACTTACACAGTCTCGGTAATCGAATAGTTTTGATAATTATCGTACTTCGTTTAAGCTCGTGATATTTAGTGTCCAAACCACCACAGCCGCTTTACGTATGTTGTCAGTCTTATGCGTTTAATAAATAGATTTATAAAAGCTTATGGGATAAAAATCTTAATTTGGAAATCTTGTTGAATGATACAAACTGTATTGCCTGTTTTGCTTCATATGGAATCATGTATGGTTTAAGTATTTCTTTTACAGTGATTTCCTCTAGTTTATGTTCCTTCACTATTTTCCATTATAGATTTGTCTTCTGCACGTGCATTCTTTCGTCTAGTGGATTCTATCCGAGCACGCCTTGAACCCCAAACCGTCTTAAGAATAGCTGAAACTGCCTCACAAAGTCGTGGTCGGCGTCTTTCACTATCAGAACCATTTGATAATGATGGGGTAAGAGATGAAAAAGATGAAGATGCATCTAGTGATGATAGTCACTCTGATCATAGTGATGAGGAGCGTCGTGGGAAAAGCCCCATTGATACCATTCCTCTGTCAGATCCTGAGTTTGATGACCTGGATGATCCTGAGCCTGCTAAACAAGAAATTCGTGCTCGTCTTAAAGCGCGTCGACGAATGTTACGGGAGAGTGCAATGAAACGTAATTTGAAAACATCATCAGAAGGTAATGCCGATGAACAGGTCGGCGTAAGAAGTGATTCTATCGAAAAGTTGCCATTTACCACAGCAGCTCAAGTGTCTGAACTTTCTCCTGGAGTGACAAATTTAGCTATTGAATTATTTTATTCTGCTATGTTGATCGCTGGTCATAAAACAATCAGTCACACATTTGCGTTCATAAAAAAGTTAGTTTCCAAACTGCGTTATTTTGGATTTCTCAACACACCTTCCATACTTTCTCCAGTTAATGTTTAATGTTGAAGATAACCCTCACTTGAGAGCTCATTTAGAATAGTTGTCTGTTGTGAACCTATCACGTTAAAACTGATAAAGTAGAGGAATCAGACTATTCGTTTCAGTCTGAATATTAAGATAAATGGGCAATTCAGCTTGAAGGTATATAGGGTAGGGATTGCGAAACTTGGATTCAGATAAATCCAAATGTTAACCTTCGAATGAGGATCAGTCGTATGTGTTCACAAAGACTAAACATCGTTTATACTGGACATCGGTCGGTAGAAGTCAATCAGGTTAAAGAAACTCAAATCATACACTGGATTGCTATGTAATAGAATACGACCGACCAGAGTTTACCTGAGATTTCAGTTAAAGCTGTTTCAGCTTCATTGGGTTTTTTTTTCGAAGCTTTGCTGGATGATGTTGTCTAAACTAATTTCAGAAGGTTTACATGTCGAAATTCTATTTTATAGTATCCTAATATAAAGAAAGGGAAATTCACAACGCGATATTGGCATACCTTCTCATTCCCATTTGTTTTGTGTTTAATGTTTAGGTATGCTGCTGTCATCCGGACTCTTACATCTACTGTTGAAACTCAAGTAGAAGCTTTACATGTAATTCAAGCGGTTTGGGCTAATAATCCACAAATGATTGTCATTATTACAGAACATATGTGTCGTGTTGGTTTGATTGATCCGGAAGCGGTTGTTCGATGGGCATATTCACCTATAATGACAACGTTAACAGATGATACAGTCAATTTGAACTCTGCTAATGCTCGTCCAAAAATTTTGGAGTAAGACAATTCATCATATATATATATATATATATATATATTATTGAGCTTCTTATTTATAGAAGAATGCTTACTGTTCTTTACAGCATTCTTCAACGTTAGTTATTTGTGCATAATTGCTATTGATGAGTATTTGATTCGAATCTCATTGTGAAAACTATCACTGAGACGCAGGTGCATTCAGCTGACTAGTTCAGAACCAGACTAAACGGATGCCTCAAATTCTACCGTCACCCACTATCTTGATCAATTTTTAGCTACGGGCGGTATTAAGTCATTTGCTCAAGAAGCCCATATGCCAACACAGGTTCAGTTTCAAATATTAAAAATGACAAACTACAAACTTACAAATAGCAATAATTCAGTTAGTTAGCAAAACTATGTTAACCATCTGGTGTTTGGCTTTAGTGTGGCGATTCCTCTTAACGTAACACTAGGTTGGCAGAAAGTTAAGAGCTATCAATGCAAGTCATGGCATCCGCCCATGTGGTCATTAAGTGTTGCTTTGAGCAGTGTTTATAGACCCAGACTACCGGCTTAAAGTCTGCGTGATTATCATAACCAATAGTTGGAAATGTTGGATGATATGGCTCCTAATCAGTCGCCATGACGCGGGTTCATTTAATACCCGATATCTTGAGTTTTAAGATTATCTTATACCCCGAATCACATTGGTTATGCTTGTTCTTTTCTACTATCAGTGATATTACTACTGTATCATTTTTCTTGACCATTCAATTTCGCTATGCTAATATGGTGTGGCAACTTAAACTCAGCCAGTCACAACGTAGAACCTGTAAGTATGTACATCGGCTCAACTTGCCGTACCCCATTAACACAAAGAGATGAATTTGTCACGTTAAATCCGAGAATAGTAGAGGCAGTAACAGTGTCAGTGATAATAGGAAAGATTAGGCATCAAAGATACGATTCGAAAAGAAAATATAAATTAGTAAAATAAAAACAAAAAAAGTTGTGAGGGATTTAGAATCTCAGGATTTGAAGGAAGACAAAGAATGGATGCACTTGTGTCATTGCAAACGATTTTGAGCCATGTCATTTCAAGTCTCTAACCATTAGTTACGAAATCACACGGACCGCAACCAAGTAGTCTACATCTATTAACGTCGATCAGTCTGATTGTTAGTGACTTCATGAACTGTTGCCAAGTTTTGGTTCGACTGTCCCTAGCTTTTTTCTAGTTCAATCCTGCACCACACAACATTGTCCATCAAGGTAGGCAATTGTTGGACATATGTAGCACGTGTTCCGACCACCTCAGTTGACGAAGATTTAGTACCTCATCAACTGAGTTCCTATCTTTACCTAGTACCCTATTCCCAACACAGGTATTCCTTACTCCATTGTCCTGAAATTCACTAGCAATGCTTCGAGAACACCTATGATTGAATAACAGTAATCTACAAATGTCCTTCACTGTACGTGGTTATTTTTTTCATCCATACAAATGAACGGAGTGAACTGCTGCGTAGTAAATTTGTCCTTTGGTTGGTAGATGGATATCTCGCCTACTCCACGAAAGGCGATCAAGATTTCATCGGACGCCAGCCTATCAGGACTGATGACACTCAAGAAATGTGAAACGGTCGATGCGTTCAACTAATTCACTCGTTGTCACTAATCCTGGAGATGACGGAAGGTAATCTTGATGTTACATTTTACATTTGGAGGAAGAGAAACTCATCCCAAACACGCTTTCATTGTTGCTTGATGTGGTCAGAAGGCTGCATTTTGTCATCATTTCTAAACAGAACTATATCGTCTACGTATTCTAAGTCAAGAAGTGATTCTTCACACAGGAGATCGATCCCCGAAAATTTAGACGATGGAAGTGTTATCTTTAAAAGTATGTTTATTCCAAAGTTAAATAACAAAAGAGAAAGCAGACATTCGTGATGAACATTTGAAATTATCAACTCTGATGACAGTTCGTCATAAGTTTTGACCCGAGAAGAGAGCCTGCACAAAGTTAGTGTGATCGTTTGGTTAACTTTCAGTAACAAACACTGGTAAAGGACCTCACGATCAACAGAGTCAAATGTTCCTTAAGGTCAAAGAATACAATTATTGTCGGACGTCGAAAATTATGTTTATTTTCCAGAACCTCCCGAAGGGTGAATATTTAGTTTAAACATCCACGTCCAGATGTCGAAGTATTATTGAGGCTTATATCTTAGACCCTTTATTAGTTAAACTAATTCCTCCGTTACTGTCACATGATTTTTTGTCCTATCTTATAGATTGGGACGATCAGTGATCGAGACCAGTCAGGTGGAATTGCGTTCAGTTCCCAGACCTTAGCTAAAATTTCAGTTAATCTAAATGCTAAAACTGGACCACCTTGAGAATCTAAGGGGTTAATCCACTAGGCATTCTTGGCCTCCCTCGCTTTAGATTGCCCATAGCCTTCTCAATCTCACTAAGAGCTGTGGGACGTAGATCAATTTACTACTAAGGTTACTTAGAGGTGGTAACTGAAGGTCAGTTGAACTGTTTCCTAAAGTATTCTGCTCACCAGTTCAATCTAGTGGATTGAAAATGGATAACAGTCTCATTTTTCGTGATAAATCTGGACAGCTGTCTACTATTACTTATTGCTGCTGCCCTCCCCATCTGATTTGCTTTGCCTATCCACCACTGCTCACGATCATTACGTAGACTTTTGATCAGCCTACGTCTAAGCTGCCTCTGCTCATCATTGTGTTCCAACTCAAACAGGATGAGTTTTCAACCATCTATCAGTTCTGTAGACAACAATGAAATCAACTGATTCCCCCTAACTTTTCGGTTTAAGTTACTAGTAGATATCACTGCTGTTTTCACAGCTTTTTGGATATTATACCAAGCTTCATTTTCACAGTTGACGAACTTTAGTTGTTCTCGAAATATATTGCTAACGTTTTCATCGTTAAGTTAAACTCTAAGGAATTTTCTTTCCGCGGTTTTTCTACGTCCAGTAAGACGCAGACAAATATGTGCTCAAACTGAACCGTGATCTGAGTCTGAACGACAGCATTTCATCGAGCGCCTCTAACTACAGCTAATGGCACTGTGGCCTATTTGTGTCCATCAATGAGTCGATTGTAGAGGTTGCCTCGTCAAACAATGTTTCTCCTTCTTTTTAAAGTTGATGTTTCCCAGAAATAGACGGTTATCTGAGTGTAATTGCAATACATGGTCGTCATTGTCAGTTCGTTGAGCCGCAACACCGTAAGATCCATCCATGTACCTTTCATTTTGGTTTAGTTTACTTGAGCATTAGAATCACCTGTCACTATTACTACATCAGTGTTTAGTTTTTTGAAAGAGGTTGGATAGCTTCCTATAAAACTCATTTAATTTCGTTCGCGCTGCAATCAATGAGTGTATAGGCAAAAAAACGAAGAGTCAACTGTATGTGTCCCTATCTTTCCGAGATTTCACTATCCCGTTTAGTCAAACAGCGCACAGGCATCTGTTTCTTAAAATGCAGTGTGACAGGGCCTGTTTTGCTTTGGAACTTGATGCTATACCTACACTAGCGAGGTCACGGGAATTAGCAGTGAAGTCTCCAGATACTCAAAGGGTAAATTGTGCCGGTTCTTTATGTTGACAAGATGAGGTCAAATAAGTGGCCGCACGTGGATCCTGTGTGTGCTCTTCGGAGACGTAGCGTACATCGATGGAGCGAGTTTTTAGAGTCAGACATTCTACAGTGCTTATAACTAACCGATTATGGTCAAAAGATGACTTTATGATGGTTTTCATCTGCTTTTTATACTTGACATTTCATCTGAATTACTTACCAAACACTATATGCCTACAGCGTAAAAAATTATTTTATTTGTTGAGCCACCCAGTATTGTTACTGAAGAGTATGCTTTTTTCTAAACGCTTGACTCTTTCTGAAGTTTTATCTTCTGCATAACTAATTCTTAGTAAAATAATAGTCTGATAATTCACTGTTTCGTTATAAAGTAATCAACCATTAGTAAGTTGTCGTTCATTCATTCTAGTCAGTCACATTACAGCAAATTTTTGTAGTCAGTGATCACTTTTCTCGTAAAACATTACTTTGCTTTAACTAAAGCTGTTTCAGTGGAACACCACCAGACACAAAGATATGTGTGGATTAGCAGAGAGATATTTTTCGAGAGTGAGAAGATGTATGGAATTCTTTGCTACATAATCGAAAAGATAACAATCGTACAGTCTCTCCCATGCAAAGCTTTATAATGTAATATTTTTGTTACTTATTTCTAATCCGAACGAGTAACTCACTTATTAATATTATTACTATTTAGCTTTTACGTTTGGGAGTGCTTAAGTCGAACTCTTGTTCGTGTTGGTAGGCGAGTTACTCGAATTACAAGTAGACTAGAACTGGCAAAGAAACGATGGAAATTAACAGGCGTTCTGTAAGTTGTTGCTCATGTTAATTGTTTCGTGTTTCTTACTTTGTTAACATTGCTGGTCGATAACTTGGACCTATGCGTATGCAGTGTTTTCTAGAGCAGTTGTACCGCTGATAGTATCTCGTAACTCCACTCTGTTCACGCCACAACGTAAACCATACATTCTGGGTATTTCACTGTTTTTGTCTGTCCACTTTTGTCATTGGGCACTTTTACCATCATGTGTATTTTTGTCTGTCAGTATTAATCACCTGATTTTCATGTTATTTTTTAACTACCCATGTTTCTTGCATGTTACGTTATAATTTTGCTCCAAAACGATAAACCCAGTTATTCATCACTGAACATCCACAAATGGAGCGACTCATTAATATCATTCAATATCAAAATTGCTATCAATCCCTTGTTACAAAGTAAAATAACCAGTTTTGTTGTCTTTTTTGAATGTTTTTCAAAGACGGTGGATCAGATCTTCGAATAAGTATTAGACATCAAGCACTGTTCCATCAAATCAGTCTCAAAAACATGGCACTGTTGACGGAATGGTTAGTTTCCGTAAAAGCCAAGTCATCATCAATATTCTGCACCTAGCACAATGTTCGTAATCCTGCGTTTGATATTCACCTTTTAATTAGAAACTAGAGCACAGAGATAAGCGTCGTTCAAGATGGCACATAGAACGTACATACTGTAACACCATTCGAACCCAATATCAGCATTCTTGACCTTTATTTTCGCAAAAGTAGTTACTTCTAAGTACTGTTTTCATTTCTTTCCTTTTAAATCATAATAATTCAAAATATTGTTTCCTCTTTAGATTCTTAGGCAAGTTTAGTAAACTTTGCCATCTTGAGAGATAAGCGGTTGTCATGATCTTGAAGCTTTTATCTAAGTATGTAGGTCTTCATTTATAATTTTGTTTCCGTTAAAATAAATGTATTATTTTGTTTTTCGATCTTGTTAAGTCTCCTTATTCGACTCCTGATCGTGAAGACGCTGACCAGGGAGGAGATGGTGATAGCTTTCCACGAACTGGAGTCGACAGTGACTCATTCTTCAAGAAACCGAAAGATTCCATTTCTGGGAGAATTAAAGTCAGCGACCGACGAAAACTTATGGCAGGCTGTGAACTGGTTTCTTCGTCTGACGATGAGGCTTATGGTGGAGGAAAGGATAATGTTGGTGGTCGAGTAGCCAGACTAGAAGAAGCCAGGTGTGAAGCAGTTCGTAGTCAATGTGCTGTCATTACACTTCTTCTGCATCGTCATGCTAGACTTACTGCTGAACTTGCATCTGAAATGTCTGGATTTACTCAGAACCATTCATTCAATACGGATTCTCCTTTTTTCTTACATGAACCAACTCAACCGAAAAGTTTGTCTGACGAAGCTTTACGAAATATAATGTTCTGGTTAAAAGGTCGTTTAGTGCAAGTGGTTCTTGAGGTAAGTCTTATTTTACGTTGCCATTATTTTATTCCTGCTCATAAAATCGAATATTGTTCTGGTCGTGATTTGCAAGTGTTTGTCGAAATGTAAGATGTTAGATAGTAGCTTTATTCATATATGATTTTCCGCTGAATTATATGAATAACCTAATCATGTATACGTAAAATAAAACCACAATATTTTGATGCAACGTCTCACAACTGTTCTACGATTGTAGAAACTTTAATTACTATGTAGTAGTTCATGTTTGTCCATTGTTCTTAGATCAGTGACGACTTATGTATATGGTATATTGAAATTAGTGTACATGTATTCAGTAAATGTTTACATCTAACACTTTTTATAGCTCCATAACTTCATTACTCTCTCCACTTGAGGTCTCAGAGACAGATCTTTTCAAATCACTTTCTGGCTTTACAAAAATCGTGGCACCAAAATTAGCAGTGGAAACGCCTTTTCAATCCAGTTACTGATAAAATAAGTGTACAGTGTATTAATTAGCTTATCAAATTACGTGTACATTTTACACTTTATAGCTGTTTTTTAAAACCTGATAAAAGTTATGTTCCCAACTTATTTTCACAGCATTGCGATCAATTAATACCTTATCTGGATAACCTTGATGAATTTATCTGTGGAGCTCATCCTGAAGTTCAAGGCGTGTTCCAACAGCTTCGTTCATTGTACGCATAGCAATCTCATTTTGATACCTTCTTTATGAGGAAATCAACTTGTGTGTACTTCAATTTGTTATGTACACTTTTTATCCAAGGATTGTAGAGTATTTTGTAACATATGGTTCTCATCGTTTACCTCCCGAAAACTAAGTTTTCTTATTTTCAGTTTCGGTGTGTCGAATTTACTCTAAGCAATAACTTAAGATTTCTCTGGGAGAAATATTCTTGGAACATCGTTTTGTACTGTTTAAATACTTGCATTTCTAGTTGTCCATGTTGTGAAGAAGTATTATGGCTTTTTAGCCTGAACGTTTTGTTTTCGCTAGTGTAGGGTCATTATCATCCATTCAGACGATTTGGGACCGTCGACTTAGCAGCATAATACAACTGAGTCGTTGACTTTGTGATTTTCAACACTCATTAAGTAACAGTCTATTCATAACTTAAGCCGATTCCGCTCGTATGCAAGTGTTTGTAATAGTTGGTGTTCTTGCGGAAGTGTCCTATGGTTATTTTCTGGATAGTTACTGGTATTTGACTGTTAGATGTGTTGCTTTTTTTCAGTTAATATAGGTGATTGTTTACCAAACTATGTGACCTCTGAGTTCCATTCAATTTCACAAATTGCCACCAGTATGTTGCATCGATTAGGTGTACTTTCTATCGTTGTTAGTTGTCCATTCGGAACTCACATCATCAGTTCGATATGTTCCTGATATTTTTCTGCTTATTTGAAGCTACTCCAGGGTTAGTGAAGTTGCCTGAGTGGGTTCAAAGACTACCGATGAGTACTCAATAATCATCCGATGAACAACCCCACACATGACCTTCTGTACGTTAATGTTAGGTCCAAAAGCTAAAACGATGCTAAGTACATACATGTAACTTACTTTTGAAAACTAATTGGAATATTGAGTTCCGAATACTATTAAATCAGAAATAGCGTTTAAAGGCAAGGTCTCATATTGTGAGTAATAAAGAACATGAAAATGAAACCTATTAAAAAGACTTCCCATCTAGGGAGGACCAGAGTTAGTAATGGTAGTGTTTAACAATTATTTAAATGATATGAAGACCAATGGACTTTTACGTTTGAGCAAGTCTGATGTACATATGGTAGAAGACAAAATCATAATTTAGAATTACATATTGCAAATTCATTCAACAATCAAACAGTTTTCACATACGAAGTTGGTTTTTATTGACATATAAGACTTGGTGTCATAATGTTACCTTCCCTACACATCTTTTCATGCGTGCGAAGGCTTAAGAAGTTATTTTAACGTCTAATTTAAACATCCTGAATAATGAGCACTGCCTGTATCGCTATTACTGACTCATGAATATTAAGAGGGATTGTACAACTTATGTATTTCAGTGGGGGTAAGTACTTAACCGACAAAATTCTCCAGTAGCGATCACTGTGGCTTTCCTGACCTACGGTTTGTTTAAGGGTATACAAAATAGTACTACTACAACATGGGGAACCACCCACCATGTGTACTCGAGGCCCTGAAAGGTTGACACCCAATGGTTTTGTGCTAAAATTTCGCCTTCTTGATGTTAATTGTGTAGCGGTAAATAAATTTCCGCAACAAATTGTTCTGCATGTTTTCAACACTTGATAATGGCCTCATTAGTTTTGATAAACACAACTACATGGAGGTGCTCGTTTACACGTCTTCTGCAACTGTTAGCCAGCTTAGACTATATGCCTCCCGATATATTGATAACCTTACATATATATCATTTCTGATTTGATTGGGTTGGTATACTCCGATTATAAAGATGTTACGTGTAAATGCGTTGTCAATCTCCGAATACCTGTGATATCTAACTAAGGGCGTTTCCCTCTTTGAAGCTTCTTTAGGTAGTCGATCTGGTTAAGTATAAACATCCTAGTAACTGATATCGTGTACTAGTTATGGTGCATTGCTCTTGCCTATCCATTACTAAGTTTTGCCAGGTTAGGTTCTTTCCATCAAGTGGTTTATCCAACTCTGCAACAATTCACTTTGAGCCGGATCATTTGACTCATTTCCACTTTATATGAATAACTTAAGAGAAAATCTGAAATATTTGAGTCTCTAGGGTGTGTCTTGCACACCAACCGCGGCAGATTGGAGGCGTCATTGTAGACAGTACTAATCACTCTTATCAGTCAGTACACTATCATACGAAATAGACTTGTTTATAATCGTATAGAGAAACTTTGGAATCAAGATCTTAGCAAACAGAAGTTACCAGAGGAACCAGCGACTGATGCAAAATACAGAATGCTCTAAATCAAAATGCCTGTTGGCTTATAATTGTCTCCTTGACTTTAAACGTGTGGTAAAGCGCGGTAACCATGTAGTTGTGCTGACAGTGGAGTCACACTAAGTCCTGACCAAGGGGTCACTCATCCTCAGTGCACCCTGTCTTTGCGTTTTTGCCTAGAAATAGTGGGTGAGAAAGTGAAGGTCAAAGAAGGCTGACTTCGGAGTGACTGTGCCGCTTATCCATGCAGGTCTGGTCACGGTGTGCACTTCTTTATATCAAATATTACATTCAGTTTTTAAGGTTGCATTTGTTATTCGAAAGTGATATCCCTAACTGCCACGATAAGGTCAGTCAGCAATGAAAATGATGTGAATGACGCAAGTTCATATAGATTAGACAGCTATATCATGACCATTCAACAATATTATGTTAAATGTGTTTCCCTAGTGGCACAAACTACCTCAATAATATCAATGATGCTTCTTAGTTTTAAGTACTTTCATCTCCAACTGCTTGTAGAATTTACAAAGATTAGTGGGGATTTGACACAGCCTAACTGAGTAACTAATTATCGTAAACCCTGTAACGTTTGTAGTATTTTGGTCGTGCTTGTAAAGTGGGATGCCTCCCGTGATATATTGTTATATAAAAATAAATTGATATTATTATAAACGTTGGGGTTGGTCAAACTTATAATATAAGACTGAAATCGAATTAGTCGGCCTATTCATCTTGTTTAAATACTGGAATCAGTCTATGTTTTACTGGAATCATGTAGCTAGTGAACTTACACAACGTTACTCTGAAGACAAGTCATCCTATGAGTGCGAGGTCTGAGATATCCTAAGCTGGTGAGCACGATATATTCTTCTCTAATGAAGTCTAGAATAAGATAAGACCTGAAAAAGTAGTTAGACATTTGTCTTAAATCAGCCGTCATGAAATCAGAGGAAAATTATTTTCGTATTTGTCCATCCATATGGCTTGAGTGGGGGACACTAGTACCCTCAAATATGCATACTATGATTTCAAAATGCACGAACAAACGAACTGACTAGAAGTAGTTCAGTCCAGTGGTTGAACTACCCTACACCAAACGTCAACAAAGACCAGAAACCATACTAATGCAACAAAGTTGAACACAAAGAAACCAGTTTGCACAATATGGTTACGAAGATATCAGATATTGGGACATTTCTTAGGCAAGTTACAAGAGGCAAACTAATTAGTTAACATGCTTAAGTGTATACATACCCAGGCTCCAAACTTTGGGGAAAATTGAGTCCATTTTGGGGAAGCCGCTATAATAAATTTTGGGGAAATGAGAAAAAAAAACCAAAATTTCCCCAGACCTGGGGAACTTTGGGGAAATCTCCAAAGTCAACTGAAGTTATTGGTAATATAACTGACTACTGAATTCTTGTAAGCAGTATAAAACAATATACAAAAGAACAAATACACTATGGTGACGTCTGTTAAAGCCTGCGAAGCTAGGTGGAAGGGGAACGGACACGATAGTTATATCATTTTGGGGAAGCTTCCCCAAACCTTTGGGTTTCCCTGGAAAACTTTTAACGCAAAAGTTTCTCGAAAGCCTATCGACATCACGGAAGACCTAGGAGAATGCTTACGTACATTTCTTACTGCGACGTTTAATTACTTTTCGTCAATCGCGCATTGCTAATGAAACCTAATGTTAACCGACTTGTCGCGATTATCAAAAGACTGATTTATGAAATATATATAAATGTTTATTACAGTTAATAAAATTACAAATGAATCATTTATACAAAGTTTTTCATTGCGTTGTAACAGCAACACCTTACGTAGACGTAGGACTGTCATTGATAATGTTCTAAAAAATAAAAAGAAATCATTTTTAGTGTATAATAACGTGTTAAGATATGTGAAAGGTTGGTGATGTACCAACAGTATAACAATGTTCTTAATAATGCGAACAAAGAACTTACAGTTACGTCTGATTAAGCCTGCGAAGCCAGCTGAAAGGGAAACATACAAGAGAAAAGTTATATCACTTTGAGTATTGATCACAAAGTAATAAACCGTTGCAGTAATTAAAGTACAGTGATTATAGTGATAAATACAATGATAATTAACATCCTGTTAATTTTGGGGAAATCCCCAAAGTGAACATCAGTTATTGGGAATACAACTGACTACTGAATTTTAATAAATAGTATAAAACAATACAGTAAAGAGTAGAAAGGGAACGAATAGGAACAATGTAGGACAAACTTAACATTTGTATTATAACAAACATTTTAAGTGGTTTTAGCTCACCCTTTATTTGGATCGCCATCCACCTTTATGTACTTAATCTCTTGCGTCATGCAAGAAGGCCTGGCTTGCTGTAGCCATGGCGTGTAATATTTCCTTTTCCGGGCAGCTTGCACTTCGGAAATGTGAACACAAAGCACCTACAAATATGTTAATACAGTAAAGTTGACTTATTTTGGACCGTCGAGTAAAATTTGTACTTACTAATACCAAATTTACTTCTGGTTCCGTGCAAAGTGTAAGTGTTTGGTTTTTTAGCGTCACAAGGCTGCGTTTCATCGTTAGTCGTGATGTTAGTATTGTAGCCCAGTACTGTTGCTAAACACACTTTTAATTCCTGGGCTACATTGTAGTCGTCTGAAAACAATAAATGTAAATTGATTACAACTTACCACAACGATGCATAACGGCACATTTTCTCACGTTGAATCGACTATCAACATCAATACCCTCAAC